CAGCAAGCCCCAGGGAACTTCTTGGCTCTACATGTACACAGGTAGACATGCCCAGCTTTTTCCTGTGAGTGCTGAAGTCTGAACTCTGAACTCAGGCCCTCAAACCCGAGCAGTAAACACTCTTACCCATTTCTTCAGCTCCTATTTTCTGTGACACCCCCCCCCCCCATCCCCATAGGCAGACAGAAGCTCTCATTGGAGTCTTGAGCACCTCTTTGTGTGGATAGGACAGTGGTCAGCTCAGAGCTTTGTTCTTGTTGTCAACTTTTTAGTATGTGTGTGGATGGTTTGTAATTTTCTGTGTTCTGCCTGTCATTCTCAAATGCTGTGATTGGCATTTATGTTCTGCTCTGAAAGTTACATTTTCAGTCTGTTGGTGTGTGGAAGTTTTTGTTTTATGTAACTTTGAAATAATTATAAATTCCCAGAAGTTACAAAACTAGTCCTGAGCAGGCCTGTGTTCCTAGCAAGTTCCGTTTAGGGTGGGATGTTGAGTAATTGTAGCTCAGTACTAGACTCTGAGTTGGCCAGCTGTGTAGTGTGTCTAGATTCATGGGAACCTCCCTTGCTCTACTTCCTTAGTCACATACAACTAAGATCTCTGCAGCTCCTTCCCTGCTAAGGTGTACCAACACCTGTGCCCCACGACAGTCTGTATCATCCTGCTGTCACCCATCGCCCTGTCAGCCTTCACTTGATTCTGGGTTCCACTTGCTGATGCTTTCTCATGTGGGCCACTGCTCACCAAGTCTGCGGCTGAGGATATCGTGAAAGCAAGTACTGTCATGTGACCCATGCCCGGCACCTCTCCCATCATCCTCTCAAACTGTCGAGGTTTCATTTTCTTAGGCTTTGTGTGTTTGACCTTGTGTACCTGTGGTACAGCAGAACAGTTGTTGATGGCTTATCTGGCTCATCTGTGGCAGGTCAAACAGCCTGGCCACCTACCTTTCTCTCTGCTGTGCCCGCCCCTCAACCCTACCTCAATTGTCCTTGTGTTTTCTGCCTGGTCCCAGCACTTTGGGGCATTTCCCAGAAGAGGAGAACAGGGTTCCTGGTGGGTAACACTCAGAGAGTCCTATGGGCTCAGGCCTGGCACACTGCCTGGCACATGCACCTCCGTGTACAAATTGACTGGGAGACTGTGATAGCACTGACACTCCTCTTGAGCAGGGTTCACTTGTGTACAACAGCTTCCTTTCTGGGCCAGCACAGTGGCCAATAAGCTATGGAGTATGCCCACCTTTTTTTCTGGGTTCAGCAGTTTGGGACAGTGTTGTTCCCAAAACTTAAAGAGAAACATGCACACTTTCTTGTTGACCACTTGTAGTGACATACTTAGGCATAGCCCTTCAGTGGAGCCCTGTGGTTGTGATGTGAACCATACTCTGGCAGTGTCATTAACATTATGGTGTAGCTGGATGGTGGCAGGGCACACCTTTTTAAAAATCTCAGCACTTGAGAGGCAGAGGCAGAGGCAGGTGTCTCTCTGAGTTTAAGGCAGCCTAGTTTACAGAGTGAATTTCAGGACAGCAGGATTACACAGAAAAACCCTTTCTCAAAAAAAAAAAAAAAAAAAAAAAAACAAACAAACCAAAAGAATTATGGTATAAATACTGCTCCCTTCCCAAAGATATATCCAAATCCTGACTGATACCTATGAGTAGGACATCATGTGGAAACAAAGTCTTTGCAGATATAATTAAAGTCATCCTGGCAGAGGCTAGAGCCATCAAGATCCCACCCGGTAGGAAGGATTCCCCCGGAGCCTCTGGACCTGCCACCTGAATTTTTCATTTCTTTCCTCCAGCACTCTACGAGAGAACATTCTGTTGTTTTTAGCTCCCCAGTTTGGGTGGGACAGCCATAGGGATAACATACCCCTGTCATGGTTGGCTCTTGTCCCCTTTTGTGCTCCTTGCTGTTACTGTTACCCATTACAGTACCTCAGAGTAGATTGGCGCCTAGTTGTGTTGAGTAGAGTCACGCAGGTACTCTGCTCTGCACACAGCTTTGGGGGCTTACTATCCATTAGAGGCTCCTGGGTATAAGTATCACACCATAAGAGCTGCTGGACAAGACACAGGATACCTGTGTGTAACAGGAAAATGAGCAACTGTTTTTGAGATTTTTTTTTAATTTTACTTATGTGTATGAGTGCATTTCCTCCATGTGTATCTGTGCACATATGTGCAGTGCCCACAGAGTCCAGAAGAAGGTGTTGAATCTTCTGAAACTAGAATTATACAGAGTTGTCAGCTGCTACGTGGGTATAGGAACTGAACCCTGGTCCTCTGCAAAAGCAGCAAGTACTCTTAACCACTGAGCCATATATTTTTTTTTTTTAATCTTTGAAACCTAGTAACGTTTATTGTGTGTTTCATGCAATATTTGGAATGTGCTTGTAATCGTTACATGTTGGTATGGAGTTCAAATGTAACCGAAGTACTATATAGTCATCCTTATCTTGGTGGCCCTCAGAATAGACTGTCCTCAACAAGGCGTAGAAGATGCCCTGCTTATATGTAGCCTCTTGGCACAACTTGTCTGCCCCAGCATGCCTGGGGTGGTGAGTCTGTCTTTTCTGAGTGAGATTGTGGCAGGGCTGGAGGGGACCTAAGTGATCCTTGCCCTGACTGTCATGTGTGGGTCGTGTGGACTGTGGTGACCAAACAGAAAACAGCTTAACCAAGAGTTATTTCAGTGGGAAGTCCAGAAGTGGACATGACTGGGGGCAGGCGTATTCCCTTCTAGGGAACCGTCCTCCCAGGTGAGATGTTCAGATGTTTGTCACTTCATCCTGTGCTCTTTTCCCCTGGTACCTGTGCTGTCTGAGGGTGCTTAGGCTGGAGTTGCCAACCAAGCTCACAGATGCGATTTTTGAGGTGCTTTCTCCATCCCCTAGTTGTGAACATGAACCTGTGCCTATGTACGTACAGGGAAGAGCAGGGCCAGCCAGCCATCTAGTACCCAGCTTCCTGCACTCTGTCCCACAGGATGCGTCCTCATTTCTGCCACCCTTGGTCATAGGTGGTAGAGTAGGAGCTAGGCTGTGATGAAGCCCTAGAGGTAACCTCTGGCTGTGGTGAACATACATACAGCTGTGGGGTGTCTATGGATCTCAGCCTGCTGCACCCCTAGAGAGTGGGGCAGCTTTTAGTGGGTCCTTTGGCCCCAGGGGAGGAGGAACTTCTTACCCTGTTGTGTGTGTGTGTGGTGGGTGGTGAACGTGGAAGAAGTCCACATGCCTGCAGCTCCAGGTCATAGTGCCTGTAAGAAGCAGGAATATGAGGCTCCTGGGTGTCAGGAGCCTCTGCAAGGGGCTCTAGTGTTTCTGGAAATGGATGGATGCAGGTGAACTGGAGCAGTGAATGGCTGTGAGATGGAAAGGGCAAGTTCCCAATGCTTGTTGGGACACAGTGTAGGGATGAACTGTTCAAGAAGGCAGGATACTCCTCTTGGATGGGCCTTTAGGTCCAGAGGCCTCCTTTCCCACCAACCACATCCCAAGACAGGGTTTCTCTGTATAGCCCTGGCTTTCCTGGAATTTGCTTTGTAGCCCAGGCTGGCCTTGAACTCACAGAGATCCATCTGCCTGCTTCTGCCTCCCTGCGTGCTGGGAAGCGCCACCATGCCTGGCTCAGAAGCTTCCTTATTGGCTCTGGTTTCCTTTCCTGTTGTAGTTGTGGTTCTTAACTGGAATGGTGGGAGAACTGAGAGGGGATTGAGTCCCAGGCTTTTCACCCTCTATCCCAACATGGCTAACCCTCATGTATCAGCTACATTTTGTGTTCATGAGAAGTGCTTGGGGCTAGAGAGTTGGCTTAGCTAAGAGCACATACTGTTCTAGCAAAGGACCCAGCACCCACATCAGGCTGCTCACAGCTCCAGCTGCAGGTCTCCAACATTGTGGCCTCTACTGGCACCTCCGCTCATAATGCACATATCTACACAAAGAGTTACACACACAAATACACATAATTTTAAGAGAAATCTTAAAAAAATAAATAAATAAACGTAACTCCAGGAGTGGTGGCACAGGCCTTTAATCCCAGCATTCGGGAGGCAGAGGCAGGTGGATCTCTGAGTTCAAGGCCAGACTGGTCTACAGAGTGAGTTCCAGGACAGCCAAGGCTACACAGAGAAACCTGTCTTGAAAATTAATAATAATAATATAAAATGAATGTAAATGTTTGGGATCCTGAATGAACCTTGATAAGGGTTGTGGGAGCAGGAAGGCTATAGGAAACACTGAAGCTAGGGCTACATATCAGGAAGATAGATCCAGGGACAATTCCAGTCCATGAGCTACGGGGCTAGCTCATGGGCCTTGGAGTTCCCTCTGTCTTCCATGCTTTGTTTCAACCGTAGCTACTCTAGTTTCTAACACAGTGAACAGAGGACCACATGGATCTTGCTCAGCACATAAGTTGACCTTCTCATGTAGCCCGTCATCAGCATTTCTGTAAACACCCAGAAAATAGTTGAAATTGGACCTAAGTGCCACCCCACACCCCAACTTCTCTGCCTCCCCCTAACTGGGAAGGTGTGGATTTCTCTAACGTTGGGTGGCTCACAGTCAGGGATGTGTCCTACAGAAGGGTACTGGCTGTCCTACACCTGTGTGGATCTGCAAGGACTTCCACACCTCATACCCACTCAACTCTGTTACAGCTCTCTTCTTAGGAGGGCTGCATTAGCATGCTTGAGGCACATAGAGACCTCGGAAAGCTGGACTAGACATGGCTTTTTAAAGGTGGTAGGCAGGGGAGGAGCCAGAGCTTTGTGTAATTGGATACTGGCTTGCTTGGGCATATCCTGTAGCCTTTGACCCTGGTGTATGGTCATGCTTGCTCTGATTTGGAGCAGACAGGCTGATGTACTAGGGTGAGGAAAGATGGACTTCTCAGGGACAGGCTGTGCATGTCAGGGGCAGACCTGGGTTCCAACATCCAAGGAGGGCAGCATGTCCTCTAATCATGGTCTCTCTTCTCTTTCAGTCTCATCCTTCATTTTTCCGGATTGGACAGATGAACAATGTGGAGCTGGACGATGAACTGTTGGACCCGGTGAGTGGGGTGATGCTGCTGCTCCACTGAGCCGACCTTAGAAGGAGAGTGGAAGGGTAGCATGGTCAGCAGGCAGCAGGACTCCCAGACATGGCACACAGAATACAGATGTGCTTTCTGAGGCCAAGTGCCCAGCAGCAACAGCTGTGAAGAGGTGGGCAAAAGCACTGTGGAGGAGGCTACGGAGCACAGAGGCCTGAGTGTAGTATGAAGATGTCCACGTGAGCTGAGGACTCTTGGAATAGGTGAGATGGGTTTCAGGATGAGGAGTCCTCAGGGGCCAGGGAGGTACAGTACTCTTACAGAGGATCAGAGTTCAGATCCCAACATCCATGTCAACCACAGCTGCCTGAACTTTCAGCGCCCAGGGATCTAACAGCCTCTTTTGGCCTCCACAAGTACCTGTAGTTGCATGCACATGGCTACACACAGGTTCATACGTGCATATACATAACAAAAAAACATGTCTTGAAAAAACAAGATGAGAATGTTTCCCAAGCTACCATACTCCTCCGGAATTTGCTTATTTTTGGTGCTGTCTACTGTGGTTTTATTTGTCTCTATGGGCAATGATGTGGGTGTTCTCACATGCCTGTAAGAGTTGTCCCCAGAGGCCAGAGGCATTGGATCCCTCTGGAGCAGGAGTTGTAGACTGTTACAAGCGATATGGTGTGGGTACCTAGATACTAAACTTGGGCCTTCTGCTAGAACAACAAACACTCAGCCTCTGATTCATCTCTCCAGACCCCTATTTCAGCTTCTTGAGTACTTCCTAGAGTTTTTCCTTTCACCAGTACTCGGGATGGAAACTAGATCCTTGTGCCTTCTTGGCAAATACTCTGTCACTTCGCTGCCTCCTTTCTTGTTATGATTTTTTAATTTTTTTTGCCTTACTGTATAACCCAAGTTGGCCTTGAATTTCCAGTCCTCTTGATTCTGCCTCCTGAACGCTAGGATTATAGGTGTGCTCCGCCACACCCAGCTTTGTTGAATGTTTATAATGGTTTTTGAAGGAGGTTGTTTATTTACATTTTAATTCTGTTTTGTTTTTGTGGGTTTTGTTGTTTATTTTGTTTTACAAGACAGGGTTTCTCTGTGTAGCCGTGGCTGTCCTGGAGCTCTCTTTATAGACCAGGCTGTCCTCGAACTCAGAGATTTGCCTGCCTCTGCCTCCTGAATGCTAGGATTAAAGATATGCACCATCATGCCCAGCTATAGTGCTTTTTCTGTGTCTATTAGATGGTCTGTGGACTCTATCCTTTGTCTTGACATAGCATACTAGTTGATTTTTTAGGATTTTAAACTAACCTTGTACTCCTGAAACAAACCTATGGTGTTTGCAGGGTCCCATTGGAGTATCTTTGATTTCATATCCCAGGTTTCTTTTGCCTTCCTGGCCTTCGGTGTCAGATGATGCTGAGCTCTGGGATGCGAGACACTGCCCCGTTTCTTTACCTTGCTCCTATAATAAGAGCATGAGATTCTGCTTCTTTCTTCCACAGGATGTGGACCCTCCTCACACCTTCCCCAAGGAGATTCCACACAATGAGAAGCTTCTTTCCCTCAAGTATGAGGTGGGCGCCCATCCTCCCTCCTGAACTCAAGCCCTACCTTTCCAGCCCTCTTCCCTGTCCCCTGGCTATACCTGTGCCCTGGTCTTGCAGAGCCTGGACTATGACAATAGCGAGAACCAGCTCTTCTTGGAGGAGGAGAGACGAATCAACCACACGGTGAGCAGGGGGGGCCCATGACTTATTGGTCTGAGTACTGGCATATTGGGCCAGGCAATATCCGTGTTTCATCTCTCTCCCTTTTGTCCCCTGAGCCTGTGGGTTCTACAGCCACTATTTGGTTTTCATGCTTTGTGTATTGGAGGATGGGGCTCTGAATGTGTGATACCTGTCTTCAGAAACTGAAACTGTGAGGGATGCTCTAATCATGGCCAGTAAGGCTGTCCTGCAGATGGTATACAGTGCCTCAAATATTAGTAGCTAGTTGTGAATTTGTAGGGAATGTTACTTAACTCCTTGTGGCTTCCCATGGTCCTTAGTAGTCATTGAAACATAGGCTGGAGGCTGCTTTTGGCAGATTTGGGCTAAGAGCTGAACTTTGTACTGTGTGTGGTAGCAGCCTTTAATCTGCCAGCACCAGAGCAGGGCAAAACAGGGGCCTAGCTGCAGTGCTCACCGTTGACTGTACCCTGTTCCCTATCCCTATCTAGGCTTTCCGGACGGTGGAGATCAAGCGCTGGGTTATCTGTGCCCTCATTGGAATCCTCACAGGCCTAGTAGCCTGCTTCATTGACATTGTAGTAGAGAACCTGGCAGGCCTCAAGTACAGAGTCATCAAGGACAGTATCCTTCAAAGACACTCAGCATGGGGCATGTGGGAGGAGGGTTCAGCAGCAGAGCACAAGCTTTGCCTTCACAGGCAGGCAGGAAAAACAGCAGGCCTGGCTCCTACGTGCACACAGCTCAGAGTGTGTGTGTTGTAGTCATAGGCAGGCTATGAGAAGTCTTTAGTTGCTTAGTACCATGGCCTGCTAGCTAGTTAGTAGATGATCTGGGCCAGATAGACTAGCCACAAGAGTGACACAAGCAGGTAGGGTGTGTGCTCCAGAAGTGCATCAGTGCCTGTCCTTGACAATCCCTGAGACATCGACAAGTTCACAGAGAAGGGTGGCCTGTCCTTCTCCCTCCTGTTATGGGCCACGCTGAACTCTGCCTTCGTGCTCGTGGGGTCTGTGATTGTGGCCTTCATAGAGGTAAAGCCACTGTGCATAAGAGATTGGGTACCTAGATTCGGAGTGGGCACAGGGTCTTGATGAAAGACTGGTCTCCTCTAGCTTACCCACCATAGGCTCTTGTTAGCCTGTGAGGATGAAGGCTTTCTGCCAGAATAACAGTATGGTAGGATGGGAATGTTTAGTCAGAACAGAAAATACATTGGGGCCTTCTCAGTTTGACTCCTAGTAGTAACATATTTAGCCCAACAGTACAACTCCTACTTTATCTCCTACCTGCCTAATTCATATTCAGATCATAGTATACCACACCTACCCCATATTCACATATAGCTAGATCTGCCTCTCTCAGGGCCATCACATAGCTCAATAACCGGTTATTCCAGGACATTCAAGTTCTCAGGAATTTGAGCAACTCATGCAGGGATTCAAGTAGAGAGGGCGCCAGGACCAGCCATTCCCCCAGGGAGACTGTACTTCCAACCCGCAGATGGCCCCTCCAAAATGCATTTTTATTCCTACACTTCTAGGAGTTTCCCTTTCTCCTAGTTTCCGCTATGTTCCTTGTTCTTTTTGTGGGGTAATAAAAGAAGGAATAGACAACATTCAGAACCTTTTGTGTGGACATAGAGTAGTGTCCCATATATAGGAAGTTCTAGTTCCTGCTTGGTACATAATGAGTGTTCTGTCCATCCTGGAGTATCTCTTCAACATAGCTCATGTGGGAATATATGACCATCAGACTCTACCCTTGGCCCTTCACACATGCTCACAAGGTTTTCTCTCAGGGGTTGCTCCATTCCTGTCTCCATTCCGTGACATGAAGTCCTCCCCACGCCTGATCCCCATGTTTTTTGTGGTTTAGAGGCAACATCCCCTTGTTCTGCCTGCTCATGATGCTTCTGTCTTTCCAGCCAGTTGCTGCTGGCAGTGGAATCCCTCAGATCAAGTGCTTCCTCAACGGGGTGAAGATCCCCCATGTGGTACGGCTCAAGGTGAGGTGTGCAGTGATATATAGCCAGGGCATAGGATCTCTGCTTAAGTCTGTTTTTGTCTTTGCTTGACCCTCCATACCTGGCACAAGCCATGTGCACACCAACTGTTGTGTGCCAAAAACTGGTCTTTGCCTGCAGCAAGTAGTGCAGGAATATGAATGCTGTGATTGCAGTTGTGCAGTACATGTCTGTAACTCAGGACTGTGTGGCCCTGAGTATTTCAGAGGCAGGGGCCTGAGCTAGGGCCTGACCTACCTTTCCTTCCCTGCTTTCAAGTTTTTTCTCATACTCATAATACATAATACTAGCAGCATCCTATTGTGACAGAAGCTGGGCAGTTGTCACCACAGTCTACTTATAACTGTTTGTTTTTGCATGACCAGCCTTTCTGCCTGAATCTGGCCAGATACTGCCTCCTGTGCCTATTTCAGAAGGCAGGTGGCATTGGTGTCCTTTGATGTACTCCTCTACCTGATACTCCAGGACCTCCCCTGGGCTTGGTGCCCTATAGCCAAGGAAAAGCAAGTGGTCACAGTCTGGAAAGCAGGAGTCATGTGCTGCTACTGCTCTACCATAGAAGGTGGACATGATGCTTCTGCAAAGCACTGACTTGTTACCCATACTGTTCATGTGGAAAAATCTGAATTGTTTTGCTATAACACCTTTGGCTACCAGACTAAGTTTAGGAGGCTTCCTCAAAGCCTGCATTGAGCATGGTGTCCTTCGTAGTGGCCCCTCCTCCCTGCACCAGGGGCCAGTGTACCAGAGGAGGCATATATGAATTATCTATGTTTTTCATATTGTTGATGGGCCCAGATGACAGAGTCAACTTTCTTGACTGCCCTGAGCACCCACCAGGTTCACACAGTTCAGAGAAGTTACTGTCTCTTAACCCCTATCTTCATAGTTCTTGGCCTGTTGTGGGGAGGAATACTGGGGTGTTTATGGAGTGTGTGCTAAAATCTCCATATAAGTGGGAACACCTGTATGTTCATGAGGTGGGGTCCATGCTGGTACTTGTCTCCAAGGAAAAGCTGTGCTGTGCCTAGGGCAGAGGCATAGTCATAGGGCAGGATTGAGCCCCCTCTTTCAGGACCCCCTAAGGATATCAACACTAGATTTCCCAAGGGGTGTTGAAGAGGAATCCTGGGTGCTGTCCTAGCATTTGTGGTGTGGGTGGGTGATCAGTAGTTCTTACCCAAGCACTCAGCTGCAGTGCTGGCCTTCCTTGAGCCCTCGGGGCATAGGCGTGTGCATAGAGTGTTCACTCAAACTCTGCATCTTCCTTATTTCCAGACGCTGGTGATCAAGGTGTCCGGTGTGATTCTGTCTGTTGTAGGGGGACTGGCTGTGGGAAAGGTAACAACAGAATGAATGATACTGGTCCCTCCTGAGTCTGAGCTTCTGTCTTTTGGAGGACACCAAGACCCATGTGTGGCCTCTGAGTACTGATTGCTTTGTACTCTCAGGAAGGACCAATGATCCACTCAGGTTCAGTGATTGCTGCTGGGATTTCACAGGGAAGGTCGACATCACTCAAGCGAGATTTCAAGGTGAGTCCTTCCACACCCACTGTGGACTGGGGAGTCATAGATGTATCTCAGCTGTCTCCTGCCTGTGCAGAGTCTTCATCCAGAACTGTGGGTCTCCTCCAACATCCAGTTCTGGTCCCCATCTCTAAGTCCAAGGACAACTTGGCCTGTTCCCAGTCCAGGTGGTTACAGATCATGTGGTCTCCCTATGGTCAGTCCCTAGGCTTCTGATGTTATATGCTGGTGTGATTCTGTTGAAAGGATCTTTGGCTCTGACCAGCTTTTCAGAGGGATAATGACTTGTGGGAGGTCAGAGCGTTAAATGGTTACTCAAACACAGTACAGTTTTGTCAAATTTCCCACTGTTGCCAGTAGTAACGTGGGCATTACAGTAAACATCTACATTGATAAATCTATAGCTGTCTTTTGAAACAGGGTCGTACCATATAGCTCAGGCTGGCCTTGAACTTAGGATTCTTTCTCAAGGCTTCTGAGAGCTGAGGTGCCAGGGATATACCACCAAACCTGGCTTAATAACCTTTTTAAAATCAAGAACAAGTTTAGATTTTCCACTCATTGGGTTTTCTTCAGTCACTAGGGTAGAGTTGGGACAAGAAGTTCATAGACTTCTTGCATGTGTGAGAAGTTGAGTCATTGTCACAAATGGAAATCTGTGGTTATGTTCTTAGCTGTAGGTACATGGAAGTGCCAGCTCTCCTGTTTTTTTTTTTTTTGTCGCTATCTATAATATTGCTCTCTGTGAATCCAGTAGCTACTGCTGTGATAAATGATGTAATTATCCAGGAAACAAACCTCCCTGACTCTTACATGTCTTCTTTGGCCCCTTTGGTAGGACCTGTTTCCAGCTTCCCTCCCTGTGGTAAGTGACCCTGCAAAGCCTCCCACAACACTCTTACATCTTTCTCTTTCAGATCTTTGAATACTTCCGCAGAGACACAGAGAAGAGGGACTTTGTCTCTGCTGGAGCTGCAGCTGGAGTGTCTGCTGCATTCGGAGCCCCTGTGGGTAAGGAAGGGTGGTCCCAGCTCATCTCTGGTATGCCCTTTGGTGCTTCATGGGTGGCTAGGATGGGAAACAGGGCTTTCTTGTAGGCACGGTTCTGAGGTTTGCAGACAAGTGCTTGGTGAGGGTGTAGACAGTGTCTTACAGCCACCAGCTACGGCCTGGTGCTACCTAGCAGCCTTCCTGTTTTAGTTTCCTGGGACCTCTGATGGACATTGGTCGTGGATAGGCTGCCCTATGGCCTGGCTGGCACTTTAGCCCTGCCACTTGCCTTCCAGGTGGGGTCCTATTCAGCTTGGAAGAGGGCGCCTCCTTCTGGAATCAGTTCCTGACGTGGAGAATTGTAAGTGCCTGAGGAAGGTGTCCCTGACGAGGGCAATCACACTTCTTCCTCCCTTTAGAACTCTTCATAGTCAGTCCATCCTTTTGTATTGTACCAGTGGATCTACACCTGTCCTAGGTGTTTTTGCCAATCTTTGGTGGCTCCTGGAAACCCTAGAAACACTATCTTCTCTATGTCCTTCGTTGGTGTGTCTATAGAGCTGCAACCCCAACTTTGCCAGCCCCACTTGGCTCCAACCCCTTTTGTCTTATATGTGGTATCCCAACACACAGCTTTCCAATGAGAGAAGTCCCAGCCTTCATGTCTGCCTCTGGCATGACACTCAGATGAGAGTGTTCTGTGTAACTCTTAGAGCCTAGTTGGGCCAAATAGAGGGTGCTGGGTTGGCCAGGTAGAGCTGTAAGGACACTGAGCACTAACTGGGCTGGGCAGGACTTCGAGGGTGCTGAGGCACCAGGCAGATGTCTAAGGCTCTGGCTTCTCTCTGCCACAGTTCTTTGCTTCCATGATTTCGACCTTTACACTGAATTTTGTTCTGAGCATCTACCATGGAAACATGTGGGATTTGTCCAGCCCTGGCCTCATAAATTTTGGAAGATTCGACTCAGAGGTAACTTGCCAGCCATACTGTACCCCTGTCCTTTCTAGTGCCACCTCAGAACCCTATTGGCTTAAGGCTGAAACTTGGACATGGCTTAGTAGAGATGCTGAACTCTTGCTTGTGAGTTTGAGGACCCTGTAGCGCCCTGGGAGTGCGTAGGGATCTGCTCCAGCAGGCTATGGGTGTACTACAGTTGCAGTGTGAGATGGCTGCAACAAGCCACCCAAACCAGCTCAGGCAAAACCAGCTCAGCCACGAAGGGGTATAAGGTCTTTTCCAAGACCATTTATCTCACCATGGTACCTCTGATTCTCACAAAAGTGCTAGAAGGTTCTATGCATGTAGACAGAGTTCCTGTTCAGTCCTATAATTTAAGCAGCAATTTCTCACAGCCTTTGCTTTTTCTCCTCTGCTCCTCTACACAGAAAATGGCTTACACCATCCATGAGATTCCTGTCTTCATCGCCATGGGTGTAGTGGGTAAGGGCCCACCCTGTAGCATGGAGCAGAATAAACCCTTGTGGAGGATGAACTCCCAGCTCCGAGGTGGTGCAGATCTGCAGCTTCCTTGGTCAGAAACTTTACTCCTCATCTCTGGGTACTGCCCTGCCCATTCTCCTGCAGATGCATGCAGGGGTGGGCACCTTAGAGATTTAATTCTACTTTGACAAAGCTCCAGACTTGGAATGGGATTCTCTGAGAGGTAGATGAACTTTATAGCATCTACATGGTGACAGTTCCTTATCTAAAATACTCAGGGCCTGACATGGTTCACATTTCCTTTTTTTTTTTTTTTTTTTCTCCTCAGGACCTGAGGAACATTTACACACACACACACACACACACACTGAATTTTGGGGAACATACCCAAACCTAAAGGAGTCCATCTGTTTTCTCTGTACCTTGTACTTGATACAGAAGTCAGGTGTAGAGTTTCTTGCTTGGAGGTCATGCCCGTGCCCAGAGATTGAAGGTTTGGAATGAGGCATGTGCAGCTCCTACTGCTCTATAAGAAGCTTAAGTGGAAGGCAGAGCTTTGTTAGTGCCAGTTTCTGGGCAGCCATTTGACAGGGTACCCTTTCAGGGCCTTCCTACTTTGGGGGACTCCACTGTCCTCCTGTGACACTAACATTAGTCTATTTTCTGGTCATAGGTGGCATTCTTGGAGCTGTGTTCAATGCTTTGAATTACTGGCTAACCATGTTTCGAATCAGGTAAGAAAGGGCCCCATTTTATTTACCAGATTGACGGGTGCAGCCCCGCTGGCTGCAGGAAATGGACAAACTGTGGAGGCCTTATCAGTGAGGGTTCTTCCCTTAAGGTCTGTCCAGCTGAGCTGCTCAGGACAGGTCGAGAATGTATGGCCTGGGGGAAAGGGACAAGTAAATGGAAGTGGGGGAAAAGCTAAAGGAAGGCTCCTCACCTGAGAGACATTCCTCAGGTCCTGAGGTCTCTGAAAGTTAGATAAAATTTGTCATGGAGAGCAAAGTCCTAGGTGAGTTAGATACAGTCCCCTTTTTGTCTGGGGTGCCAGTCCTTTTATTAGAAGAGAAGCAGTCAAGTTGTTTGGGAAGGTCTTGGTCTCACTGAATGCCTGTTTTTGTATTGGTCTCAGCTGCTATGGTGGTGTACTAGGGTTAGTCCTTACTGAGAAATTTATAGCCACAGGGAGAAAGATAACCCCAGGAGTCTGGGCTGATTGATCATTAAACCTGGGCTGTGTGGCCCTTATCATTGGCTTCTGGGTCAGGTTGCCCTGACAACCTGGCAGGGCAGGTAAAGCTATCTCTGGCCATCCCTGCAGCAAAGTCACCCTGGCTTTGGTCTCTAGGTATATCCACCGGCCCTGCCTCCAAGTGATTGAGGCCATGCTGGTGGCTGCTGTCACAGCCACAGTTGCGTTCGTTTTGATATACTCGTCTCGAGATTGCCAACCTCTGCAGGGGAGCTCCATGTCCTACCCACTCCAGGTAGGCATAGGTCTTGGGCTAGCCCTATGAGCAGGACCAACTGTGCAGAGCTCTGCTTTCCCAGAGTTAACAATGCTAGTAGGCCTTAGGCTTGTTCTGTATGTAGGGTCCCATAGTAAGTTACGCTGTCTGTCAGGGGCTTGAGGAATGGGTGGCAGTACTAGACTGATCTCACCATGGTCCTTTCCAGACTCTCCCTGGAGAGAGTTTTAGAATGGGGCTTGTTACAGATTAGAGAAGTGCATACCTGTAACTATGCAGAAATCATGTAAGGATAATTGTAGCAACTCCTAGTAACCCCAAAATGAGAGCTGTCTCTCTTCCTCAGGCAAACAAACGACATGTCTCTCTCTGAGTAAGTGGTACTCAGTTGAGAAGACTGGGCCGACTGGTTTCCAGGACCAGTGTCCCACTGTTGATTCTGAGGCATTGCTCATGAAGCTCTTAGGTTCCCATTTCTGGACAGCAGGAGATGGACCTCTATCTCCCAGAGAGGTGATCATACCAGTGAAACCCTGACTGAACTTAAACTTGGGCTCTGTATTTTGAGCCCAGATCCTGTCTGGTGCTCTCCAGACTCAGGGTTCATGAGCACTCAGTAGCACAGAATCTTTCCTGTTGCCATCTCTTCCTTTATGTCCTTTCTCTCAACTCTGCAGCTCTTCTGTGCAGATGGCGAGTACAACTCCATGGCTGCAGCCTTCTTTAACACCCCCGAGAAAAGCGTTGTCAGCCTGTTCCATGACCCACCAGGTATGTACAGTCAGTGGGCTGAGGAATCACCTCTGATATGGTGAGGCATGCTGGAGTGGAGGAACCAACATTGCAGAGTTGGGGGCATAGGGCTGCACAGGACTGGTTGGGTTCTATGGGGGTCCCTAGTGGCCTATCACCTGGAGAGGGACTGGTTGGGCCACCCATCTTCTTTCTTCCTAAACTAGTCACCTGAGTCACCTCCATCTTTCTCCAGAAGAAAACCTAGCCTGATGGCTCCAAGGTCAGGCCCTTCTGGGCTCAGCCATACTCCTGGTAGTACCTAGGGCTAAGCCCTGCATACTAGGCCCAAGCAGATCTGAGCAGCCTTAGGCCTGTATCTTCAGCTCCTCTCCTACTGTTGTAGTTTGCTTTCTGTTACTGTGATGAAACACTGACCAAAGCCAACTTGAAGAGTGGGTTTATTTAGCTTATTCCATATTTAAGGGAAGCTGAGGCAGGAACTGAAACAGACTGTGAAGGAACATTGATTTCTGGCTTGCTTAGATGCCTTCCTTATAAGTTGAGGCCCACCTGCCCAGGGATAGTACTACCCCCATCCCCAGTGTGCTGGATCCTCCCACACCAATTAGCAGTAAAAAAATAACCCCAGCAGACATGCCCACAGGCCAGTCTGATGGAGGCAATTCCTTAGTTCCTGCTTCACAAGTCTATCAAGTTAACAACTGAAGTGAAGTCTATTCTATTTACAGAAACAGTTGTGTCCTGTTAAAAGGCTACTGGGGACTTCCCTGTTTGGGAGGCTGTTCATAAGAAAGGGTCATTAAAGTTGTGAGATAAATTTGGCATAGAATAAACCAATGGCCTTCCACATGTGGACCTCTGCCCTTATTGACCTACTCCCTTACCTCAGTAACCTCTGTGTTCTTAGCCACACAGACTGATGGTGCACGCCCCCCGTACCCTCCTGGCCTTCACATAGACCACTGTTGTTCTTCTCTATTTGGCCTTACTTCTCTGGTTTCTCATCCACAATACAACCTCAGCATTTTGTCTAGGAGAGACATGCCTCCCATGTCTTGGAATTTGGCCACTGAATTCCAGTGGCCAGGAGTGGTTTGGGGGTCCAGTCAGATGTGTCTTGGTCACCTCTCACCTTTGGTGAATATTTTTCCTGAACTGCTAACTCTTGCAGGGCTCCCAGACTCAGGCCATGCTCAGGCTCAGGGAAGCTGTCCTAGTGCAGTGGGCATACGTGAAGTCATCCATTTTGAGTCCAGCTGAGCTGCAAATCTGCTTTTGCTCTCAGGAGTATGGGCTTCCTCTTTCTCCCAGAGAACAGTCTCCACATGGGGCAGGGCACATACTCTTCAAGCTATTGGTCATTCTGCGGAGTTTGGTGTTGACATCTTGGGCCCTGAATTTGAAGATACTGAGAATGCAGAGCTTTCTGGGAACCACTGGGAAACTGGAATCTGGTGGCCTGGTTCTCGGGATGGGAGCATATGACTTCCAGGACATCCCCATACAGGCCTGAGTCCCAGCTACAGCCTAGTGCCCTCCTTTTCCCTAGGCTCCTACAATCCCATGACTCTAGGCCTATTCACCCTGGTCTACTTCTTCCTGGCCTGCTGGACCTATGGCCTCACAGTATCTGCTGGTGTCTTCATCCCGTCCCTGCTCATTGGGGCTGCCTGGGGCCGACTGTTTGGCATCTCCCTGTCCTACCTCACAGGGGCAGCGGTGAGTTGAGGGGAAGCATGTCCTAGCTCTACTGTTCAAGTGTTACGGGTGGCTTTAGGTATAGGGACACCACACATGAGACCGGGGCATCTGGTGCATTTAGGCAAAAATCTCTGGTGTTATTGAATAGCCACGACACATAACTGGTGGAGACATGTCAGAGAGATGAGTAAGAATATAACAGAAAAAAAGAGCCTCGGTCCATCTAGCACTGCCCTTCCTCTCACCAGCTGCTGCTTGGGCTAGATTTGCGTGTGTATTTTCTCACTTGAGTTGTTTGAGTAAGATTGACAAATCGCACTGGGCAGTGGTGGTGCACTTTAGTCCCTGCACAGAGGCAGGCAGGTCTCTGTGAGTTTGAGGCAAGGCTGATTAGCACAGTGAGTTCTGGACAACCAGGGCTACCTAGAGAAACCCTGTCTGGGAAAAACAAAACAAAGATTGACAAATTACAGAAGGGATAACAACAGGAAGCTTATACCCTTCCCAGTCCTCAGGCTCAGGTATCTGTCTAGATCTGCTTTGGTTGGGTTCTATCTTTTGAGATGTGATTGACAACAATGATTGCTTTGAACATAGTTTATTAGCATTTATTAAATACTTAGCATTATACAACCATCACTTCCAGCTGCAGTGATCTTTCTTCACCTAGAAAGGAGCTCTACTGTATTAACAGTTGTTTCCATTTTCCCTTTCCCAATTCTGGTAGCCTCTAGCTTCCCTGCTGTCTTTGGCCTCATCTGTTGCTAACATTTCCTAGGGCACACAATATACACCCTCATAAGTCTCTGTAGTTTCCAACTGAGTGTGATCATATGCTTCATTCATCTGTGTTGTAGCATGTTCTAGAATCTTTTTGTTTTTCCCACAGCTATATGTCTTGGGTGATTCAGTATGTCTGCATAGGCAATGTCACTTTGTGCATACTTTTGCCCTGCTGTCTCACTTTATGTAGGTTTCTCAGCATAAAGCACAGCCTTCTGAACTCATGGCTGTGGGCAGGTGGCATAGTTTGTAGACCTTGTTTCTATACATGGCACAGCTAGCTAGAGTGTTAACACACTGGTTGTAGCAGAGGACATTGGAGTAGATGTTCTGTGTGTGCATGTGTGAACCATGCAATTCACTCCTGTGTGGATCACTAGGCCCAAGCACAGCATCTTCACTCATATGCCCTGGCAGATTTGGGTAAGGGTTACCACTGCCTCTGATACTCATGTTGCCTCCTACAGATCTGGGCAGACCCGGGTAAATACGCCCTGATGGGAGCTGCTGCTCAGCTTGGTAAGCCCAGCTCTCTCCCTGTTTTTGGTGAGTGGGGCTCACTTGTACCCTGCTCACCCATTGTGAGTTTCATCAGATTTAGCCTTTGTTATTCATATGAGCAAAATAGGGAGTGAGGCAGGTGAAGTCATCAATCCCATAGCATGGCCAGGTGCCAATAGTCAGGGCCCAGCAGTTATCATCCTTGCCTCTAGGGTCTGGAAAGATGGGTGGGCAAAAAGACTGCAAGTATAGCAGAGCTGGGGACCCTGTGTTTAGGGGGATAGGGGCTTATGACTACCCCCACAGGTGGGATCGTGAGAATGACCCTTAGTCTGACAGTCATCATGATGGAGGCCACCAGCAACGTGACCTACGGCTTTCCCATCATGCTGGTGCTGATGACTGCCAAGATTGTGGGCGATGTCTTCATTGAGGTATGCAGCACGAGGGGGTGGTTTGTCCTCTGCTTACCCTGAGTATTGGCCTTGTGGCCTGACATTGAGGGGCTTGCATCAGCTGCAGAAGGAAGGGGGGGTAGGGAAGTGGTGGGGCTCTGGGGGAGGCATGTGCCTTAAGGACCCCTGGGCAGTGTCCTGAGTCATGACTCTGTACCCAGGGCCTCTATGACATGCACATCCAGCTGCAAAGTGTGCCCTTCTTGCACTGGGAGGCCCCGGTCACTTCACACTCGCTCACTGCCAGGTATGGCCAATTGGCCTGCTAAGCTTTTGGGTTCCTGGGTGCTATCGATGGATGTGGACAGGGAAAACACTTTGGAGAGCCCAGGTACCAGCATTCCCACCATGGTCCGTCCATGGCAGGTTTCCCAGTACCTGTTTAAGTCTGTGGTATGGAAATTGGGGTCTTGGGGTCCCAAATCTGATAGCTTCATGTCTGTCAAGTATTCACATGGTACAAAAGCTCTTAAGGAACTACCTTGACAGCTTGTGGTATGAGTGTCACTGAGACAGTGTCCTTGGGTTGGGCCTTTCGGCAGGGAAGTAATGAGCACACCTGTAACCTGCCTGAGGAGGAGAGAGAAGGTTGGCGTCATCGTGGATATCCTAAGCGACACAGCATCCAACCACAATGGGTTCCCTGTGGTGGAGGATGTGGGAGACACGCAGGTACTTTGGACACCTCTCTGAATGTCAGCTCCTTTTTATTTTGTGCCCATGAGCAGTACGTGTTGAGGGAGTGCATCATGTAGTTCACCTGAACAAGAAGCCTTTTTTAACAGATTTATTTTTGTTCTATTTATATGTTTTGCCTGCATGTATGTATGTTGTACCACATGTGTGCTTATTGCCTCCAGAGGCTACAAGAGGGTGATAGATCCTCTTGGAATTGGCGTTATAGATGGTGTGAGCTACAATGAGAGTGCTTGGAATGAAGCACAGGTCTTCTGCAAGAGCAACAAGTGCTCTTAACCATTGATCCATTTCTCCAGCCCATGAACAGGAAATCTTGTGTTGCATGTGGAGTAAAATCCCTCTCTTAATTGGACTGTCCCCACAGATTTCTGTGGTTCTGACTGGACTGGACTTCACAGTCAGGGTGTTGATGGCTATTAGATCTGTCAGGAGGTGCTGATGAGAAGTGAACCCAGCTAATGTTTACCTTCTTGCCCAGGTCTTATTCTGCTAGGGTGTGTTTGACATTGACACTGGTGGCTTGGAAGAAATGAGAGGAATGTGCTTGTGTCACATCTTGCTACCTGTTGAGTCCATTCTCAGCAGCTGGCTTCCATGCTCTGCTGGAAGGGTTAGCCCTATCTCAGATCCTTTAGGGATTAGCAGGATTGTGTGTGAGAGAATGCCACATCAAAGCTCATGCTTAGAGGTGACCACTAAACAGCAACTATGGGCCAGTGGGGAATCTGGCCAGAGTAGGGTTGGTCAAAGTTTCCTGCTACAGTGTCAAGGCCTCTGACTCTTTCCTCTCTCGCAGCCAGCCAGGCTCCAAGGCTTGATCCTGCGTTCCCAGCTCATCGTGCTCCTGAAGCACAAGGTGCACCCAGCAGCCCATGGGTGGGAGTGTCTTGGGCACCATCCTTCAATGTAGCAGACACATAACTGGCCGCTCCTGCAGGTGTTTGTGGAGAGGTCCAACATGGGTTTGGTGCAGCGGCGGCTGAGGCTGAAGGACTTCCGGGATGCCTACCCACGTTTCCCCCCAATCCAGTCTATCCACGTATCCCAGGATGAGCGCGAGTGCACCATGGACCTTTCTGAATTCATGAACCCCTCTCCCTACACTGTGCCTCAGGTACAGTGTATTGATCCTTTTATTGATCCAAAAGAAGTTGGGCCAGGGCTAGGCTATGGTTGACTTCCAGGGCCCAAGCTTGATGCCTTCCTTGTACATGTTGAAAAAGTGGTAAAGAGCCTCTGGAATCTTGTGGAGTAATTGCTGCCAGGCAGAGAGGAGGCCTTCAGGGATGGTGCAAGTATGGCCTGCTTCCTGGGATGTGCCATCTGACCAGAATGCATCGGGGACAGCCTGAGAACATGGGCTTCAAGTGGCAGTGAGCCTCAGAGAATCCCACTAGCAGCCCACTTAGGGGCTTGGAGTCAGTAATGGAGGGAAAGGGACAGCTCAGTACCCTGGAAATGCCTGCTTTGGGAGGTTGAATGTCTTCCCACAGTGAGGTGAAGTGGGCTAAAGGCAGTTGATCGCTTTGCAGGAGGCGTCTCTTCCTCGAGTGTTCAAGCTGTTCCGGGCTCTGGGCCTGAGGCACCTGGTGGTAGTAGACAACCATAATCAGGTAAGGCTGGTATCTGTTCTGCTGGAGATTGCTGGAGCTGGCTCTCACTCTGCTTCCTGAATTCCTGCTAGGTTGTGGGTGGACATTGGGTCTTGTTTGTCTCAGGACAGTAAGCCTGAGACCCAGCCTGTTGTTGCACACCTACATAGCACTGGTATGTAGAGTATGCCATCACAGGGAGCAGAGGTTCTGTAGACCCTATAGGGACCTGTGACCTGGTATTGTTTCTACAGGTGGTCGGGCTGGTAACCAGGAAGGACCTAGCAAGATACCGCCTAGGGAAGGGAGGCCTTGAAGAGCTTTCGCTGGCCCAGACGTGAGGGTTGGCTCCACCCATGTGCAGTGGCACCCCAGTTCCTCTGCACCTCCTCCCAGGGTCCCTGGTTTCAGCCAAAGCCTTGCCCCCTGGGCAGTGCAGCAGCAGGAGCAGATGCCCTCCTTGGACCTGGCTGGTGTGGAGGCCAGACCCTTTGTGTTGGGCAGTGGTTTACATTATCAGCACTTTCCCTGTTCCCTGACCCCTTTGCCCCTCAGACTTGCCCCCTCCTGGTTCCTTCTCCAGGGATGAAATGTGTGAGATAGCACCCTTTGTGGCTCACTTCTGAGAGCCAATAAAGGTTGTCGTGTGTGTGTGTGTGTGTGTGTGTGTGTGTGTGTGTGTGTGTGTGTG